CTATACTGTTTTAAGGCTTATTTGCTGATTTTTTTGCTCTTGCTTGTTATCCTGAATAATACGTTAGTAACTATACCTAAACCATGCAACAATGTGCAATGTCAATCAGCAGTTGCCAAGGCCAGTAAGGTATTGTCATGCATGAAAAAGGGCATTCATTCTCGGGACGAGAATATCATTTTGCCTCTTTATAAATCACTGGTAAGACCCCATATTGAATATGCTGTGCAATTTTGGGCACCTGTTCTAAAGAAGGATATTATGGCACTAGAAAAAGTGCAGAGGCGGGCTACAAAATTAATAAAAGGAATGGAACATATCAGCTATGAAGAAAGGTTAACAAATTTAAATCTATTTAGTTTAGAAAAACATTGCCTGAGAGGGGGTATGATAACAGTATACAAATATATTCGGGGCCAATACAAACCATTGTGTGGAAATCTATTCACAAACCGGACTTTACATAGGACATGAGGCCATGCGTTTAGACTGGAAGAAAGAAGATTTCGTCTAAGGCAAAGGAAAGGTGTTTTTACTGTAAGAACAATCAGGATGTGGAATTCTCTGCCTGAAGAAGTGGTTTTATCAGAGTCCATACAGATGTTCAAACAGCTACTAGATGCATACTTGCAAAAAACAGAATATTCAAGGATATAATCTTTCAATGTAGGGTAATAACTGCTTGATCCAAGGATAAATCTGACTGCCATTCTGGGGTCAAGAAGGAATTTTTTTCCTAGCTTGTTGCAAAATTGTGCTTCAAACTGGGTTTTTTTGCCTTCTCTTGGATCAACAGCAAAAAACAAATGTGAGGTAGGCTGAACTTGATGGACGCAAGTCTCTTTTCAGCTATGTAACTATGTAACTATGTAACTATACCTATAGTAAATCAAGAGCAGTAGCTATTTTACTTTCTGCTTCCCTGCCCTTCACTTTTGTGGCCCACATTCAAGATGAGGGTGGCCAATACGTTATCTTTAGTGGGAGGGTAGTGAACACTATGGTTACATTTTCCAATGTACACCTACAAAATAGTTTACAACGTTCTGCTTTGGAACGTGCCTTACCAGCGTGTGACCACTTTGTGGAAGGTAGGGTTGGTATTTGGAAAACACTAGATTTCTCCCTAGATGCTCATTTCCCAGTCCTCCATCAAGGCGATAAACAAATCATACACGCATATAGATATGTTCTTCCTCTCTCATTATGCCCTTTCATCTCTATATGAGGTGAGTAAACGCTCCATAACATAGGTAGATCTCACCTCTATCAGCCTGTCTCTCCAGATTCCAATCTATGTTCAAAATCAGTGGCGTTGGAGATTAAGTTAATCAATGCTTAAGAATACTGACATTGTTTTCTGAATTGAAGCACAATATACTATGTTATTTTTACCTTAGTTCTACCTCCGATGTTTCCCCAATTACTATATAATAGGCACATAAAGTGGTCATAGGTGGACGGTTTATTGAGATAGGATCTCAGGTTAAGAAACAGAACAAACAATGCATTGCAGACCTAACCTCTCGTATCTCCCAGTTGGAGCATCAACAAAAACTATTCCACTACCTGTATCACTACAATCTGTTGGTGGTGGCATTCTTTGACTAAGGAATTTGTGTATGGCTTGTGCTACCATTGCTGAAAATTTTGTGATGGCCATGATAGAAAGGTGTCCGAACAAAGTGCATCACAGTGTGCAGCCATAGACCATCAGAGTGCCCAAAAAGACCCCTTTCTACCTCTGAAAGCACCTTCAATGGGGATGTGAGCATTAGAACTGTACCATGGAGCAATGGAAGAAGGATGGTTGGTTGCTTTTTCTTTTAGATCAGGTGGATGGCAGGAATTTTCCTGAGTAAGCGATGACAGCAGGTTCCACTATTGTAAGAAGGCAGGCCAGCAGTGTTATGCTCTAGGTAACATTGTGCTTGGAAACCTTGGATACTGGCATTCATGTGGATGTTACTTTAGCAAGTACCACCTACCTAGAGATTGTCGCAGACCATGTACACCCCTACATGGCAATGATGTTTCCTAATGGCAGTGGCCTCTTTCAGGAATCCAATGCACCCTGTCACACTGAAAAAAAAAATGTTTAGTTATGGTTGAGGAACATGATAAAGTGTTCAAGGTCTTGCCTTGGCCCTCAAATCCCCCAGATTGTAATCCTATTAAGCATCTGTAGGATGTGATGGAACAACAAATGCAATTCATGTTGACCTCACCTCACAACTTGCAGTACTTAAAGAATCTGCTGCTGTTGACTTGGTACAAGACACCATAAGACATGTTTAGATGATTTGTGGAGTCCATGCCTTGATGCATCAGAAGTGTTTTGGAAGCACAAGAAGAACCTACACAATATTAGACAGGTGGTTTTAATGTTGAGGCTGATCAGTATATATACTCCACTCCTAATATAGCATGCATGTTTCACAAATATTATCAGAACTGATATACTATTTACCCTTCCACCATGTCATCACCAGCTATGCATACATAGTTAGAACAACATTTCCATACCACTATCCCATGTAATGAATCTTCTCTCTTAGATGACCCTATTTCTTGTAAGGAGTTTTTATCCACGTTGAACTCAAGTCCATTATTATTATTATTATTTATATAGCGCCAAGAAATTCCGTAGCGTTGTACAATGGGAGGACTAACAGACACATAATTGAGATCAGACCACTGGACGTACAGGAAGAGAGGGGGTTGAGGGTTCCATTATGGAAGAACCTAGGCCTGCATGGCTTTATATCAAAATACTATAAAAAATCTTTGCTAAGAAGCTACCCCCACATTTCTGCATGTGTCTATCTCTCTTTCATCTAATCCTTTAGTCCCCTCCACTTTATCGGAATCTTTCATTACTATAATACCTAAGCCAGGGAAAGATTTTTGACAGCTACCACCCTATTTCTTTTACTAATGAAGCTCTTCTACCTTTAACCTCTCCTACTGGGAGTAGTGCACCCTGATCGTTCTGGCTTTGAGCTTTGGAGAGAAGCAAACAATAAGATTATTTTGCTAAGTGGGACTCAGTTCTCAAAAACATCATCTCTTCTCCTGGAGGTAGATGTTGAAAAGACTTTTGACAAGGTGGACTGCTCCCTTATATTTGCTATGCTTGAATGTCTCAGCTTTGGTCCTCGCTGGCTTACCTGGCTCCATTCCCTTTACTCCTCTCTTACTGCTAAAATACTAGACAATGGCCACTATTCCTCTGCTTTCTCTATAAACAATGGTACTAATCTAGGATGCTCTATAACTTTCCTATACTTTGTTCTTACAATGGAGCCTCTTCTCCGCACCATCAGTTCTCACTAGGCAAGGGTAGACATTCTCAACTACAGAATCTCGGCATTTGCATTGAGTAACCCATTTTCATCTCAACCCTCTCTGCCTCGTGAACTAGTACTTTTTGGATCCCTGTCAGGGTTTAGGGTGATATTTTACAAATGCATGATCCTTAATATTTTGGTCTCCCAGCAAGAGATGTGATTGATTGAACCTAAGTTCCCCTTTGATTGGGCATGTAAATCCATTAAATACCTGGGGGTCAGGATCCTTTCAACTCCTATACAGTTGTATGGGCTTAAATTCCCTCACTACTCACTGCCATTAGAAGGGACTTTATGGAATCTACCTCATTTTAATCTCTTGTGATGAGTGCACATTCTCAATGTTAATGCACTCTTTGGTCAGTTATATCTTTTGCAGACTCTACCTATCCACAACCCCACACTCCACTCTTTGGCTTGGTGCATGCAGCCTCCTTCAAATTTGTCTGGGCAAACAAGTGGCCCTGCATTAATTACTCTGTTCTTTCTCGACACAAAACAGTGTGGTGGACTTAAATTTCCCAATGTTTATCATTATCATTAAGGACTATGTTATCTATAGGGTACATTTGGACAAGGTTAGACATTTCAAAACAGTGGTAGTAGTAGCATTTGAAAATGTCCAGGTTCCCTTCACTTCGTTTGGCAAACTGCCACCTTTGAGCCCCAAGTTTCCATAGTGCACCCCACTTTTACCCCTGTAACGGATCGCCTGGCACCCTGACTGGGTACCTCCGTTGAAGGATGCTCCTAGCGCTTCTTGAGGACTCCAAGCACTCTGGCAGACACCACAATCACCGAACCGGAGAAACAAATAAATTCTCCCAAGCATATGAATGCTGTAGACAGTTGAATAGGAACCATACGAATAGGTTTACTCTCCTAGCAGTCAAACTGGAACAGCATACAATAAATCTTTCCCCCAATAATGAGACGACACTTCACTTTGAGGGTTAAAACAGGAACTCCTCTTTTTCAGCTCCATCTGCTGCACTCTGCTGCTCAGGGATTACCCTGTCCTCATGCTGGTATTCAGCCATCACTTCTGCAATGAGGGTTGCTTTCCTTTTGTTGCTTGTTGCAATACCTTTCACTTCCAGGAGATCTTTTAGTGTGGATCTTTTTAGCTTGGCATAATCACTCTCCATCCGTATTCCATTAGTCCTTTCTGGATCCCACCGCTGCCACCAATGTAGCGGAGATGCAATAATCCCCAGGTATCTCCGCTTATAATCCAAGTGAGGCTCAGGAACAAGTAAATTGTAAATCCATAGGCAAGGTCTCCAGCAGGCAAAATAACACAGCAATATCCCACAGCAATCCCAATAACTGGACGACACACAGTTTCAGGAGCAGAACTGAAATCTTTTAATCCACACTGTCCTTTTAAAGCATGCTCCCATGCAAGGGAGGGATTTACAATCATTAGTACAGTAGCCAATCCTGTCCTGGTAACCTCCCACACATCTCCTCCCCTCAGCCTGCATCATAATCCCCTTATCCAGTCTAGCAATTCCCCCCGTTTCTGGATGTACCCCTAAACGTAGGGGTACCCCTTTAAATCCTACATCCCCTGATAGCCCTGATCTGGGTTAACAACATATCCAAAAATCACCCAGATCAGACCAGAGGTTCGGGAAATGTATGGAGGGAATAAAATGACCGACCGCACTGACTGAGATAGCCGAATGCGGTTCCATGCGAATGGGCCCTGCAGTCGGTCCTGGAATAAGGGAACAAATTGCACGAAAGCCTCTAGCTATAGAGGCTAGGGAGGGTTCGCCTGAATCCCCTCGTTCGGTTCTTTCTATCTACCGAACGAGGGGCCGTTCGGTAGTTAGGAACCGAACGGACCAGGCTTGTGGAGGATTCAGCGGTGTTCACCTAGTCGAGTGTCCGATTTGAGTTCCAGACACTCGACGGCAAAACACCGCTGTTCGGGAGTTTTAAAATGGCCGCCGCCACGTGTTCGTTTGTAGAATGGCGGCCACCCCCGAGAACAAAGGACGGCTACTTCCCTTGTCAATTACCTGTTCGCAACAATGTTGCAACGGGTAATTGAGAACACACTTCACACAGGGGAGGTCTGACTGTTCGGTAGTTTCATTCGAACAAACCAAGGGAATGAAACTACCATACATTCAGACGAATCCAATACATTTACACATATAACTTAGCTATTTCACACGAATACATTCCCTTACATTATGTTTAAATAGACGAATACAGTTTAAACATAATGTAAGTCCCAGGGCAGTTCGTGGCCCTCCGCTACAACCCCTACTACTTTCTTCTGCTCCCAGTGTCACATGATTTGCTCCTTCAACCAGGGTTAAACACCCTGGCACCTCTTACCTCAGTAACCATGTCATTCGTTATTAACACGATCCTAGGTAAAATCCCTGTAAATCAGAGACTTTCCTTTTCCATTATACAGTATTTTCAATTTTCATTGACTTTTCTAAATGTATATTTTGCATTACTGTTATTTATTTATAAAAGTACTATTTTGAAATGATATAATATAATACTACTGCATTGTGTATGTTAACAAAAGCAATCGACTTTCTATGTTTCCATCAAATATATTTTTTGAGAGCTAGATTATGTTTGATGTGAAAAGGTTATGGCTTGTACTTGAATAGTGTTTATATGCGAAAAATACTATTCAGTTAAGCATATCTCATCTAATGGAATCCAGTCCTCCATCTTGTAGCTGCTTCTGATACAATGGAAACTGTGAATTAGATTTGTTGGACTCCACTGAACTCAATGTAACATTGTAGAAGGAGATCAGGAAAAATAAGTTTTATAGAAAGTCCAGTAATCAAAGGATTCTTTAAAATCCCATGTATGTAACATTGTAAAGGGAATTTTCAGAAATTTTTCAGTGAGCAGTGTTTGAGAGCTATAAAACTTGAGCTTCACTTTTTGCATTGTACACACACACACACACACACACACACATACATTGAGTTGAATTCAAAAGTGTTGATGTTTTGTTATTTCACTTTATTCCTTCGAAGGTAGAGATTGAAAAAAAAATGAGCCAACAAACAAAAATGGACAAATATGTTGGTAAAACTTTCTAATCTGAACATGTGAGGAACAATCCATGCACCTTCAATGTTTGGTGCTGTTACAATTGTCCCAAAACCTTCTAGACCCGTATCCAACCTGCACTGTTTCTATTTTTGTTTTAAAAATACTGCTCAGCATTCAAATACTGCTTCTTTTTTTTCTTTGTTTAAGTTCAGCAGTTAGCTTTCTAGAACAGAAAGCTGGCATTTGGACTTCAACGGAAATAAAATACTTGCTGTGCACATAGAGCTCTTTTATGAAGGGATAAATATAACAACCACTGCTAAATAAAATGTATTACTGGTGGGGTTACTTTTTGCTTTCAGGTTCCAGTGTGAAGATGTTAGCCTATAAATTAGATGTTCCAATATACATTTTAGCATAATTTCCTCAAGGCATTTAAATCAAATTTCTATCATTTCTATTTTCCCTTTTTAATAGGGGCTTTTGTTTTAATATCAAGCACTTAAAGTGATACAAATTACTTGACAATTTTTATTTATAAACCAGCTAGCAAACAATTTTAAACAAATATCTAAATCAAAATAAAGTTTGCATAGTGTGTAATAAACATTTAAAAAACTTACCATAAACTTGGTCAGTTTACATTGTTGTGCACGTCTCTCAGTTAGAGGAGTTTCTTCAGCCTCTCCTTGCCCACCCACTAATCCCCCTATTTCAGTTTGACGTGCACTTGCACTAGCCATGCATGAGAAACTATGTGCACACTCATGACTTCTGCCAACAAAAGAGAAAAGCATGCTGATAGCAAAGGAAATAATAACTACAGACTGATTCTCTGCATACATAAATGAAAGAGCAAGTGATTGTTTGTACATAGGGATTCCATTAATGGTAAATATAAATGGCACACCAACTGGTTTCTTTTGGAAGGCAGTATGTATTAGGAGTACAAAAGTGAAGACATGTTGGTTCCTCTTGAGCCTTTGTCAAGTCTGACTTGACAAAGGCCGAAAAGGAGCCTAAACGTTGTCTTCACTTTTGTGAATTCAAATATACAGATGTGTATATATGTTCACAGAATGTAGACCGTGTATAATGAGTTTGTGTGTCTACCTATTCCTAAAGATTTTTGCTAACAGTAATTGTCCCAATTAAGCCCCATTGAAGCTAAAGCTTTTAAATTAGACTGTTGTCTTAAACTGATGCATGTCCCTTTAATAAATGATCACTAAACTGCTAATGTTCAGACTATGGTGAGAGTATACTTTGGCTTGCATTGCAATTAAGAAACAAGCCCTTTTCTGAATTTTGCTCTTTCAATTGCTTAGTACATAAGTCCCTAATTATGAAAATAATTAATTTGTTTAGATTAATTCTGAATTCATTTGTTCTCAGTTAGTTTCCGTTTGTAAAGAAATCGGAAATTCAGATGCTTCCGAATTGCCATATTTGGACAAAATCCGATTTGGAATGAAAAAAACTGAACATGTTTAATATCAATAGAATCAAAATGCACCTTTAATGCAAATATATGCTACAGTTTATGACATGTATTTAGATTACCAATATCATTTTAAATTAAGGTTGCAAAAAGCAGTGAATGCTACCATGGTCTCTATGGAATAAGATTTGGTAATTTGAAAGTTGGAGTTGAATCTGCTGAATGTGGTCAATGCTCTAGATGTTATCAGATAAGAGGGCTTCTGAATGCAATGTGCTGTGGGGCAATAATTGGCTTAGTCCATTATGAGGTTTTTGAAGGCTGGGGTTTTGGATGGGTTTTTCCTTGCAGTCGGTGAAGTTTAAAGAAGTCCTGAAAATGAGAATGGGAGGCATCAGCTGCGGAGTTATGACAGACAGAAATGTGAGCACAAACCAGGAAAAACTGATGTGCTGCTAGCCAGGTCAATTTCCTGATTAACCTTATAATTGTTAAAAGACCAGAAGGAGGACCATCCTTTGTTAATAATATCAGATGCTGCCATGTTGTCTGAGTAGCATTTTACTGTTTTTCTTTGCGATACCATACCCCACATGTGAGCAGCTGCTACTACAGGGTAAACCTCAAAAAGAGCTGAGGTTTCATGAAATGACGGTAGGTTGACAGTTTCAGGAGACCACAGGTCTCTGAACCACAAGTCGTCAAAAATAGCTGCAAAGCCAGTATGGGCTGCACCATCCATCCAAATGACTAGGGATTGGTCAGTCAAGATGTGAATCAACATTGATTTACCATTCCATATGAGTATATATCTGTCCCATATTTTTAAATTGGCTTGAGACTGGAGACTGTACTGCTGTTGTGGGGAAAACTAGGCAGTAGGCAGAGTAGCCTTGAAGTGAATGAACAACCCTGAGGGATTAAGAGCATGGCATAATTTAGTGAACTCGGGAGGGATTGTCCAAGTCTGCCCAGATTCGCTGAATCTTTTCATCAGGGATAATGAACTGCATTACGGTACAGTGCAGTTGTATGCCTAGAAAAAGTTAGTTGTGGAGCCTATAGTCTTGTCTTTAGATAGTGGGACTCCTGGGATCTCTAGCTTTGAGCATTACTAATGAATCCCCATTAGTGATGTCGCGAACCCGAAATTTTCGGTTCGCGAACAGCGAACGCGAACTTCCACAAATGTTCGCTAACCGGCGAACCGGGCGAACCGCCATAGACTTCAATGGGCAGGCGAATTTTAAAACACACAGGGACTCTTTCTGGCCACAATAGTGATGGAAAAGTTGTTTCAAGGGGACTAACACCTGGACTGTGGCATGCGGGAGGGGGATCCATGGCAAAACTCCCATGGAAAATTACACAGTTGATACAGAGTCTGGTTTTAATCCATAAAGGGCAGAAATCACCTAACATTCCTAAATCACAATCAATATGGATTGACACCTGACATATGACATATTGACACCTTGACATATGGATTGACACCTGTCCTCAGAGCTCCTGATGCACACGGACACAGAGCAGAATAGAGACTGGTCCCCCTACATAGGGTCACTTGGCAGATATGGATTGACACCTGTCCTAAGGATCCCTGATACACACTGACACAGAGCAGAATAGGGACTGTTCCCCCTACATCGGGTCACTTGGCAGATATGGATTGCCACCTGTCCTAAGGATCCCTGATACACACTGACACAGAGCAGAATAGGGAATGTTACCCCAACATCGGGTCACTTGGCAGATATGGATTGACACCTGTCCTAAGGATCCCTGATACACACTGACACAGAGCAGAATAGGGACTGTTCCCCCTACATCGGGTCACTTGGCAGATATGGATTGGCACCTGTCCTCAGAGACCATGATACACACTGACACAGAGCAGAATAGGGACTGTTCCCCCTACATCGGGTCACTTGGCAGATATGGATTGACACCTGTCCTAAGGTTCCCTGATACACACTGACACAGAGCAGAATAGGGACTGGTCCCCCTACATCGGGTCACTTGGCAGATATGGATTGACACCTTGTTGCAAACTGCTATTTGTAACGGGCCCTTTAAATGGCAAATTGCCCTGCTTCCCTGGGTTGTGGAGAAGCCTGTTTGCCAGCCTCCTCCCGCATGACTATGGCCCCTGGGAGATTGTGAAAATGTATGCACTTTTATTTGGTGTGTATGGCCTTTAAGACTGTCAGTGGGCATATTGGGGCTTATGGACTCTTTATGTGACTGGTGCTGGCCCTTTAAGCACCTTTTTTGGGACATCAGGAAGATTTGGACATTGCCCCTTTAAGGCCGTGTCCCCAGACTTGTTGGGGACACTGCCCCTTTAAGACGGTGTCCCCTGTGTCCCCAAACCTGGTGCAAACCCTTTGTGCCTGCCTGGCTATTTCCCACTTGGTTCAGTAAATGGGGCTTACTGAACCAAGTACCACACAGGCAGACCACCCAGAAGTGGAAGTGTGCAGGCAATTTACTTCCCAGAAGCTGCGGTTAACCGCAGCTTAATTGACAATGC